TCTCTCTCTCTCTCTCTCTCTCTCTCTCTCTCTCTCTCTCTCTCTCTGTGTCGATGCATGGTCCCATTTTCGGAACTTTCGACACGATACCATATGTATTTTATTATTTACATAGAACCGAACACTGACGCCACCGAGAACAAGAAACGAAAAGCAGAAACATAGCATTTTTACCTTTCCACCGTGGACAATTTCGTAACCATCATGTTTACATTCATGCGATCGAACCAGAAAGACCAATTTGTTTTTTTGCAAAAAGTTTTGCGTAACATCAGGGCCATAATAAGTGCCAGCCCCACGTAGACCGTTTGGTTGGCAGCCTTCGTTGTGTTGCGGATCACTCCATAAGATGTCGAACACCTGTACCAAAAACGAAAACAACAAAATACAATAAACCGTTTAACGTGAATTCATCAATAATAAGTTGCCTAGATTAGGATTTATCTATTTAATTTATCAAATGCTCTCCAATTTTGTTTTTAAATCGTTTTCAATTTTCGTTTTTTTTTTTAGATAAAATGAGTCTGTTGATTGATTTTAATTCATCACGTTTAGAGTCGTACAATCATATTCGATAAAGCAATTCATTATCGGTTTTTTTCCACATCTGTTAAAGAGCTACGTAAAATTGGGGATGTAGAATATGTCACTGGTTCACATGTGATGAATGATTAAACAAAACAAAAAAGAAAAATAATTACAGGTGTGAGAGAGATTCAGCGGTTCGTGTAAATAAACCAATTAATCAAATCCTCCAAATTCTCAGATGTTCATTTGTCGATTGAGAAAACCAGAAAGTGCAAAGGTTTCACTAGCTTCCAATCATCGACTCCGTTCAGCCGCTGCTAATTCATTCAGCGTGACTTTTGGATTTTATTTGAGCAAAAATTACGGCTAGCACAACAAAACGGTTTCGGTTGCGTAACACACACACACACACACACACACACACACCGACACACCGATAGGCGCACAAATCACAAATTCAAACAAAACACATTCACATCTCGAAGCAATCAAACGCAGCGGCACAAAAGGACTTAGACACAATTCATTTGCATACAAATAAAGTCTGATCCAAAAGCAAAATCAATGTCCGTATTAAATGGATGCTTTTTGCACAAATGTACGCATTTTTTTTGTCAGTAATCTTTCTAGTCTTGTTTTCTTTTTGTTCCTACTAAAGATGCGTGTAGCCGAGAGTTTGAAACGAAGCGGTTTCATTTGATTTTCAACGCTTAGGATCACATGGCTGAACATTTAAAACTCTCTCTCACACTCATTCACTCACTCACTCACTCACAAGCATATACCACGCACACAAACGCAGGCAGACATTCAATTGTTTTGCGAAATCCAAATCAAGGGCTGGCTCGCTGGCTGCTGCTGTTGCAGAAAAAAGCAATTTGTAATCGTATCATGTTCCGTTCTTCTTTTTTCTTCTTCTTTAGCGTCAAGCCAAAACAACACAAAAAAGCCCATTTATTTACGCAAAATGATTCATTTGAAGCAATAGGTTGGGATTTTTGGGTGAATGTTTTGCATTTCGGCTGCCAACTTGCACATTTTTGTTGACCAGGTTTTTGTTATGTGTGTGTGTGTGTGTGTGCTTCGGTGTCGGTTCACATTCATTTTGGAGCCTTTTCTCAACATTTATCAAAAGTTTTAGACTGTCAGAGACAATTATCGTTCGAAATTCTACCAAAACCACCCCGCCTTTTTTCAAATGGTATCATACATAAATTTTCTGTCTGCCATCATCTTAGAGTCATCGTTGTGTTCGTTTAATAGTAACGTTAAAATGGCAAAGAAAAAACGCACAAGCGGCCAAATAATAACAGCAGCAGCAACAACAAAAAAATGTTTACCTGTTTCCATTCCACTTTGTCTATTATGTCAGCTCCAGGTGCACTACTATCCGTTATCGGAGGCCGCAGCAACGAAACATACTGCAAACGAAACGGTAGATATAATTAAATATTATCTGTTTGGGGTATCGAAAAAAAAGAGACTAATCATGATGCATGGATTCGTTCGTGCGGGTGTGTGTATAAATGGTCTAGACTAATATTCATGGTGAACTGTTGCTATTGACATCGATAACCCGATCCATTGGCTACAAAAACCTTTCAAATCACTGAATATCCCATTCATAACAGAAAAAAATAGACGAAAACAAAAGCGCCGAACCAAAATCAAATGTGAGAGCACCACAAAAACGCGGTTTTCATTTCTGTCTGGTGTGTGCGAAATTTGTCCGGCAAAGAAAAGCTTCATATGACCAAATGAATGGAATCCCAAGCCAAACGAAATAACAACAACAAAAATACGGTTTCCATTCCAACAATGATAATTGTGTAAATTTTCCATTCTCATTGAAGATCATTTCATTCTTTGTTTGGATTAACGAGGATTTTGCATATCTCAATTTCTATCGTTAAGTAACTTCCACTGCGGTGAGCTGACACTTAATCAATCTAACATCTGAAGGTGGAAATCCATGGGCTAAGAGATGCATATCAAAAGCGCTACATCACCATTGCCTCATCATCAGAATAACAAGACCAAACGAGAAAGTGAGGGTGTGTGTGTGTGAGAGAGAGAGAAACTCCGAAATAAAATGTCATGTTTGTCGTTTGGCAGAAGCTTAAAAAATGCGCTTGTCAATTCGGAGCCGAAAAACAGAAAAGAAAATTGGAAACGGAGAAGGGAAACGTTCGCCTTAATTTTTATGGTGAGTGGAGAGAAAATCAAATGTATGTAGGTGGCACACACTGTAGCTCATATACTCAAATCATAAATCATGATAAATTCGTTCAGCCCGTATCACAACGGTGTCAAAATTTCAAAAACGAGATGAAGAAAGAACAACACAACAGACACATATTTACACACAAAATATGAACGAGAACATGTCAGATTGTGTGCGGCATGCATATACGCGTATGCCAGTATATGCTCGAGTGTGTAACGGACAGCATCATTATTATATCCATAATGTAATTTGATTTTGTTGAAAGGAATTGTAATTTTTTTTTGTTCTCTTTTATATTTTTTGATCGTTTTTGTCGTTGTGTTTTGGTGATGGCGCTCTCTCTCTCTCTCTCTCTCTCTCACACACACACACAATGCTTAGATAAAAAATGAACTGAATTCGTTTATTTCTCATTTGATCTCTCGTGGCTGTCATATTTCATGCACGCCACACACATGCACGCACTGAAATGATATTTATTTCCATTACAAAGTGCCAATATTTTCGTTTTCTACGATTTGGGCACAAAAATCCTATAGAGCTTGGTGCACGCTACCTTCATTGGCTTTCTATATAGATGGCAGCCATTTAGGCAACGATAGCAAATTTAGCGACATTCGATAATTTTATTACGAATTTTGATGTTATTTCGTTCCAATTTTTGTTTAGTGTTCGCTGTCCTCGTCGTCGTCTCCCATTTATTTCTCTTCACTTGAGGTAAATTTCATTTATATTGTTATACGTTCGTCGCTCATTTTGGTACGTCTTTTCCTTTTCTCGCATTCTCTCTCTTTCTCGTCCCTGCTCACTCACTCATTCTTTCTTCCATTCCATTCCATCCGATCCCTTTTACAATATAATGCTATTGCAGAATCACACATTGATGCGAAGTGATGAAAATTATCACAAAGTGCTCACTCACCCATATCCACCATAATGGAAGTATATATACATCAACTCTCTGTATTTCTCTTTTTTTCAGTCGCACAACAATCGCAGCAACGCAATATATTTGTGTGTGTGCGATAAATGCTCGCTTACTTGCTAACACACACACACACACTTACACCGTTTGCGATATCCATAATTTCATATCAGATAATTGAATAAAACTTTTGATATCAACTTTTCTGTTCGCCACATATATTTTTGTTTCCATTTCTTCTCCAACTTCAATTTCTTTGTAGGACGCCGTGCGCGCTCGTTCGTTTGCCCGTATTCGCAATGTGCTCAAGCCTCCAATATTATGTATAAAACCCTAGAAGCATCTCGAAATTCAATTGAGTGCGTGTGCGTCGAATATTTCGCCCAGCATTTCTCTTTATTTTCACCATGCACATACCCACACACAATTGCAGGCATAGGAAAAGTAGTTAGCCGCATCTTATCAGCGACTTGTCATCAAAGTGCCACTTCCAATTACCATTTTCATTCAAATCAATTCGACAACAATCAAACGAAGCATAATGTATTGTACGGAAATGCAGGTGATTTAAATTATATTGATCGAATCATGTCACTTTTGAAATTAATTATCGCTCCAGTTAAAGTCACTATTCATAAGCGCTGACATACCCTGGCGGAGGGACGGAAAGATTGGAAATTTCTTACTTAAAAACAATTTATGTTCGCTCATAATGATGCATTTATTGTCGAATTAACTCGAATATTATTGAATAATGAACGTGAAATAAATCGAACCCAGTGAATCACGCGCACTGAAGTAATTAAAATGAGATTTCCACCGAAAATACAGACACACGCGCGAACGCTAACGATCTATTTTGATGTGATTTGATTTCCACCTGAACCACATTAATTTCACGAGTTGAGGATAACTTTATAATCCCATCCCGAAATCGGATTCCGTTGTACGCAGCCAATGCTAAAATGGAATTATAGACTCCAGACGATGATGATCATTTGTCGAAAGCCTATTTTAACTCTCTCTTTTTCCTCTGGCGCCGTTGCCGCCAAAAAATCCAATCATCATGATTTACATTAATGATGATAAAGGAAAATAAGCTCATGGCTTAACTTCATATTTGAAATAGTGATTCAATTCCAGAATTTATTTTGCAATTTAACCACCACCACAGCCCATTGGGTGGTAAAAAAAATGAGAACCATACAAAATTGCCCGTTAACTCAAATGGCTCAAGAATGCGGCCACACACAAACCCACAAACCAGTTATAAAAAAAGCATCAAAGGGTCTCAGAATTTCAATACATTGAATGTCGAATGGAAGAAGGTGAAAAAAATGTAAGAAAAGAACTAAACTTACTAGACTATTACCACAATGACCATACGTAATATATATAGTGAATATAGCGTGTATTATATATATTTATATGTGTGTGTGTGTGTGTGTGTGTGTGTGTGTGTGTGTGTGTGTGTGTGACTTACCTTGCCACGGTCCAAGCTCTTCAACAGATCCAAATCAGTGCTATCCGATATACCGCCATGGACGACAAACACCCGATTGTTGACTATTGTACCCAACGGAAGCCATCGATAGATTTCTTCAATAAGTTTTAATAACCGTTCGGCATTATGCTGTTTGTATGTTCAACAATAGAGAGTCGAAGAGTGGTTGCATGGGAAGAGACACAGAAAGAGAAAGAGCAGAAGAAGAAAAGAGAAGAAAGCAAACAAATAAATCCATTTCGCTAATATCTGCATTCTTATATATTTTTTCTCTCTCTTTTATATACACAAATACACAATTCTTGCCTTTTTACAAATGAACAGAAAAGAAAAAGAGAACAACGGCAAAACAAAAAATACGATGGAGAGAGAAAAAAAAGCCATTGCAAAAAGAAAAGTTACTTTTCGTAGTGAAAATAAAAAGTGTGGAAACACATGCACGGTTAAGGTGTGTTCGAATATTTTGCGCATGATATAATTTCGAAAAGTGCAATAAAGCCGTTTTCTGTGCTTTTATAGCTTTACGAGAATGTGTGTGATAGAGAGAGAAAGAGAGAGAGCGCCAAAAAATAATGGCAACTTTGATTACGTAAATGCATGGGCGCATGAGTGAGACAGAGATTCAGTAAATGAGAGTGAGCAGATGATTACAATTATGTTAAAATAAAACTTTTTCCATTTGGAAGAGGGAATACGTGCAAAGCGATTTATATATAAATGCCAAAGTGCTTGGAAACGTCCAAAAGACGAAATCCTTTAGCGAAATTCTCATGCGTATGTGTTTGTGTGTGTGCGTGTGTATTTTGTGTGTAATTGCGTATGCGGCTGCTTTGCCAACAATTTCATTGAGTGTAGCAAGGGCCAAATTATTACTGAGAAATTGAATTCAGTACTTTTCAGTATTTTCAGTGCCCAATGTATTAGTATATGCAAGTACTGAAAATGGCATTAATTTTCCAGGAGAAAAATGAATAGATGACAGATCTGTCAAAATAAATTTCAACTGTCAAAAATCCCGATCTATTTTGATACTGAAAAACACTGAAAAATACTGAAAATATTTTTCAGTTCTTTTCAGTACTTTTCAGTGGATTTCAGTGCTTTCAGTTTTTTCAGTAGTGATTTACCCCTTGGAGTGTATTAGTACTGCTACTGCTTAGAAATCGCTTAATTTTATGGCAAAATAAACATTACCTCAAGAAAAGTGAATGGAATGAAATGGAAAAAAAAAGAAAACCCAAAGCCACATACACTCAAACTATGGGAATGTGCATTAGTGCAAGGAGCAAATCTAAAAATGGTGCCGGCAAGCGAAAACGGGCTTACGATACAGAAAAAAAAGAACCACAAACCAACGAATGCACGTCATAAACATATTTTTTAATTTAAAAAAAGAAACGGAGAGAGAGAGAGAGAGAGAGTGGGAAACTGAAAAAAAGCAAATGAAACAAAAACGATTTAATGTGTGCGATGTGTCACACAAATCGGGCTATACACGTCGTGCACTGTTTTCTTTTGTCCGCTGGTAAAATGCACAGATCTAAAAAAAGCTATAGATTCATACATGGCTGAACGAATGATAGCGGTACAAAAAAAATGAAACGGAAAAATGCGAAACGAAATAAAAATAAAATGACAACAACCAAAACATGTGCAATGATTTTTCTTCTATCGAGCAAAAAAAAAACGTACAGAGCAAACAACAAGAAGAATTTTATGCAAACCTTGTACTTTTGGTGAACTTCCCGAATAAAGCCATATCTGTTTTTATTGTCATTATCGAAATGTTGTTTTTGATTTTTGATAAGTGAAATAGTTTTAAGTATTTTGGTTTTTGTTTCGAAGAAAGTGTTTTTCGGATTGATGAAGCATAGGAAAGAAAGAGAATAAAAAAAGAAAAAGAGAAATAAAACATACAGACAAATATGGTATGAAAATAGAGCAAATAAATCGATGTGAAAAACAGAGACACAGAATGATTTTTCATATAAACACGTTAAATGGAGCTTTCAGGTGTTTCCCTTAGTTGGATAATTATGTAGTCGATAACTATTTAATGATTCTTCGAAAGTTTTTAATTGCTCGTATAATTTTATTGCTTTAATACAGTCATTACGTGAGGAGCGGGAATTTATGAGTGAGATATTCGATGTGTGTTACCTTGCATTCATAACAGTATCCTCGTGATTTCCTCTATTCAAATAGACACCGCCAGGGAATACTAAAAGGCAGGATAGCAGCAGAAGTAATACTTCTAAGCTTTTTTTGCCACGATCCACGAAATCACCATTAAAAACGTACGGGTTCTCAGGTGAAGGTAAACCATTCTGAAAAAAAAAACAACAACAACATAGATAAAAGAAGGAAGCACATATTAGTGGAGAAGACAAGATCGTGTTATGCTCACAATATCCTGTGTGAAAGAAAAAATCATAATCATTAAACGAAAAAAAAAAGAAAAATTGAAAATTATTCCATTGAGATTGAGAAAGTGAATGCATTCATTGAAAACTCGATTATCACTTTATATTAAAATGGGCGAAGGTTGTCTTACATCAAGAAAGATGATATTATTGCATTGCGTAGCACACATTGAAGAAGATAATATTTTGTGTGATTGTCTTTGACAGAACCGCAAAATGTCTTCGTTAAAATTAATCGCTGCTTCTTTTCGCTCTGGAAATGCTTGTTACATTCGTTGAATGCCATAGAAACCAATTCAGTTACTAAATTGATTTTTTCGCCAGACACAGACACACACACACACACACACACACACCCACACCGTTTTTCTATATTTTTTTTCCACGACAGATGAAGCATGTTCTAACTTCATTCGATAGCATTAGAAATTTGCATATTTGGAAAGGGATTAAAATCGCACTCTTCAACTTTCTCTCTCGTTTTTTGTTACTGTTCATCTGGCTCATAGTATTCATTGGTGCTTCAAAACCAAGTGCATCGCAATTCAGTGGGAGAATTAGTTGTAAATTTTACAATTAGACCAAGTTCTGCATTTTCTATGAAGTACTTGGAGCATAACCGAAGACGAACGTACATAATTTAAAATGATTTTCATGGTTTTACGCTATTGTTACGATTTCAATATTCCTAAGTAAGTCCAATTGAAATTGCGGAGCGAACAATTGAATAAACGCAAGTGCAGTATTCACTTCAAAATGGCATACGATCAAGAGTTTACCCGTTCTGTTTTTTTCCTCTCTATCTCCCCGTCTCCCTCTCTGCCCTACTCTCTTTCTATCCCTATATTTTTAACTCTCGTCTCGTGCGTGTGTATATCGCATGGAAATTACATGAGCTATTTGTTAGCAAACTTTTTCACATTTCCATCTTGACAGCGTTTTAAGATCAGAAATTCAGCACAATTCGTTTGGCTTGTTCACTGCGGACAATTTTGGAATTTTAGCACGCTAAGCAAGTGCATTGCATGTGTGACCAACGATAACTTCAAAAAAGTAAATGAATAGTTTCACTGCTGCTCATCAAAATACGCAATAAACTTGTGTGAATGGAACACACATTTCCAAATTTTCCGCAATAATTCCCGAAAACGGAAGAGAAAAAAAGTACAAACACACTCACTTCAAACGAGGAACAATACCCTCATTTTGAAAACAGGACCGGTTGGAACAACGCTCTCACAAATAGCTGTGCGAATTTCCCATAAAAGCACACATACATTTTTCATTGCAAAGCGTTCCATCGCTACCGGTAAGCATCTCGGAAACGTTGCGATCGATGAGGTGCAAAATTTTCTCTTACTGGCAAAGCCTTTAAGCACATCGCAGGATTATCTTTGAGTTCACACAAACATTTAGTTGAATATTGATTGAAATGTTTGAAACCGAGTGATTAATACATCAAGTCAATTATTACATTTTATGTCAAAGTTTTCAACTTTGGGTCCTCGTCGTTGATCTTAAAACACCTTCCTATGCCTAAAAATGATCAATCCATTACGTTTGTAAACATTGCGGTATGTTTTGTGCAGTGTTTGCACGCGCGCGCGTAAATGCGCGCGTGTATGTGTGTATTTACATGTTATGTAGGGATGAAACGTGCCGCAATATTGTGACTGAAATGCCTCAAAGCTATCGATAAAAACTTTTTGACATTGGCTGAAAGCAATTCAGTTATCTGAAAATACGTTTTCGCAAAATGATGCAGGTAAAAGTTTTTATTCAATGTTTTTCTGGTGGGCCGTCGTTGCTCATGAGCATACAGAAAAATCGGTGGTTTTCCACTGATTTTCATTAAGATATATATATGTATAAATTCTCGGTGGACCTAACGACTCCTGAAAAACTCTTCATGCTGTTTGGCACCGAGACATCTATTTACATTAATTCATTTTACGAATTCATTCCAAAATGTTGACGGCCCATTTTGTGTCGAATGTTATTGCAATGACAAAACCATTTAACACTAAATCTGCTTGCGAATTAATTTGGGTCAACAATAATTGCGGCAAATGCCACTGAAACACACAGGAACAAGGCTATATGCCTTCCTGTGAATATTGAGCACAATCATTTATGTACTAGATATGTATAGTTTCAATTTAATTTGGCAATTTTTTTAGTTAAAATGACACAGATGTCGCATTCACAATTAAAACTTTGAAAATTACGGGTAAAATAGATGAAAAACTGCGGTTTTGGCTAGCCATTTTTGTTGGTGTTGTCGTTCGGAATGAAAAATCATTGGGTTTGGCTGAGTCGAAGCAAAAGCAACCGTTTGTGAGAAGAACGACCAATGTGAAGTTTCAACTGTATTTTCAACTGAATGAATCGCATCGCACCGTGCCAAGCCAGGGAGAAAGAAAGAAAAACGAAAGCGAGAGAGAAAGAGAGAAAGCGCCATTGCATATTTCGTGCAGTTGAGCGCTTTGGTAATGACTCTTCAAGTATTATTTAATTGTAACCAGGATCATGACTGTATTCGTGTTTGATTTCAAGAATGAAGATTTCCGTACTAAATTAATTACTCAAGGTCAACAAAGTTTTGGAGTAGTGGTTTCGTCTTCGTCCTCGTCTTCGTCGTCGTTGTCGTTATTCATTGCTGTTGTCGAAGAATATCAATCATGGTAATTGCAAAGAGAAAGTAAGGCAACATTCAAATCTCTGTTGGCAATAAGTCAAGCAAAAGAGCAATCAATGGCTTGCTGAAATTCAATTTCATTCAATGACACAAACACTTCAAAATTTGTCAGCGGATACTCTATATCAAGTTGCTTTTGAATTGGAATGTCAAATAACTAAAAGTTCCACTAGATGTAATCAATTCACGTGTTTTTCTGTATTATTATTTAGCAAGTTAAGATATATTCGAAATTTGACTTTAGATCGTGACATTTACGATGGATAATATGGCAGTGGATGGCGCTTTTTTCTCAATGCTATACCATAAAAATAAGGTAAATGAAGGCAAGTTGCTTTCATTTTGCTAGACTACATTTGATTTGGATCGCAAATAATCCGTTTGCTGAATGCCATGAAAAATGTAAAGAACTCAAGTGGAAAAGTCAACAGAAAAACTTCAGACTCAAAGATTCAAAAAGGCTTTTTAGTGGATATGTGTGTGTATTTGTTCTTTTTCAAACGAATTCTTGCGCTATGAATGTGCGCTTGTCCGTGCGTTCGGCCCGTAGGTAAGACGAAAAACTTATGAAACTTATAACACTTTCTGTACGACGACGATAAAACTTTCCCTTCAACTGATGAAGAAATCGTGTGTTTCTATTCCCATTTTGCTTTGGGATGCATACATATTACACATCCACACCCATTCTCGTCTTACCAAAGCAACAAACTTCGCACATATGATGCAGTGACATAGAGAAGACGTGGGAAGAAACTAGGCTTGTCGCTATTTAACTTTTCGGTTTGTAAAAGTGAAATATTTATTGAGTGAAGAGAACGACGAGAATTTTATGCAATAAATTATCATTGCTGTATATACTATATGTTGTGGTCAGAGAAGATGGATACGAGTTTAACCATACCGAACCACAAATACTTCAATTTTTGGAGACAATTCGACGGAATCCTATATTAGTTCGAAGAAGTGAGATCAAAGAAAAAGTTCGGCACACATTTTTGTTCGCTTTCAAGTGATCTCACTTTTGAAAGAGGAAAAAGTGAAACATTACATGATTTTATCCATGCGAATCGGATTGGAGTGAATTGAGTAGGCTCAACGAAAAATATTTTATTCATAAAAGAGGTCGCTTTTCATATTCTTTCATCGAAAATTATGGTTAATTTTATATTTTTTATAAGCATGTTCTATATGCTTGAAATGTAATAGAATATGGATTCCGAACCAATTTCTGGCTGGTTAATCATTGGCAGCGCCAATTCGGCATCGTAAGAACTATAGAATATTATTCCGTTTTTTTTTCAAGAAAAAAGGGTTCATTTTTCGGGCAATGAGGGGAATATCTCATTACTTGATCACGATTTTGTATCATTTGATGTGTTTATCAGTCCCGCCGATTCGATATCAGAGCGAAAAGTTCAATTTTTGCTTGATTTTAAGCTCGAACTTAACCCATTAACTATCGGGATCCTTATTTAGGTTTCCAATCCTAATCAGATCGGAAAATGAAAATCGAATGTGAATAAAATAAGTCAAAACATGGTGGTCGATTTTTCGGCCATTTATTCAGTACAAATTTTCCAAAAATTCCAAAAAAATTATATTTGAAAATCTAAGTTTTAACCAAATTATTTGCTTGTTTCATTTTCTGGGGTCACGCGTCGATTTTCCGACCAATACTAGTTAACGGATTAACAGAACCCATGGAAAATATGCGTACAGTAACTGTAACCGTTTTTTCATAGAAAAATAATACGACAAGTTCACCGAATTTCTTGAACTTGTTGAATTGTTAAACACAAACTTTGTGTCACAAAGTAAGAGTGTTAATTGTGTGTTTTATTTGGAAAAATTGCAAAATTCAGTTCTACTTAAGAACAACACAAAGTATGAATACTACATTTTGGCATTGCTCCGGTTTAACAATGGACTCCATAAAAACATCATCGGTACTGCCACCAAGCCTTTGAACGCAAAATTGGCCCTAATTATTCAAATAAAAAAAACACGGTTATTGAAAACACAATTTACATGCAATTACACAGTCCGACGCGTGTTTTTTTAATCTGGCACATGAGCCGAATAAGTGCCGGGGGATAGTTTAGGCCGCCCTGAGTTCATAATGGGCCATGGTTTTGGGATAAGGTGCTTTGGCCGGGAATCAACGCCTATAGGCGTTTCTGCATTTCAGGAAGAACGAATTTCTTGATGAAACCTAGTTTTTACACTAATACTCCGGTAATTGAAGCAGTAAAAACTTGTGTAGTTCTTCTTTCTACATGTTTTTGGTGGTTTTTCAACTTTTTGCGGCGCAATATATAAAATTGATGATGTCAGCTTTTGTGCCGATGGAATTTATGCCAAGTCCTGCGGCTTAAGCTCGTTTGTCAAACTCGGCGAACGATTGTGATAAGAAGATTCATGGTTTCGTCGTTTGCGTGAAAAAAAAATTGCCAAAGCCGAGCGGAATTGTAAGAAGGGCAAATAATGCGGGTTGAAAATTGGTTGGCAATTTTAAACGGTAGCAACGACTTCGATTTCAATGCAATCAAATGGAATAAATCTCAATTGACTTATAAAATTGTGCAAACTATTATTTTTTTCGAATAATACTATTTTTGGAATTAAGCTGATTTGGTTTGCCGTCTTTACCTCTTGCACCAACTTTAAAACGGTTATACCCTCGTTGTGTTTGGAAAATTTAGCTAAACCAAGTTGAACATTACGTAAAAAATATTCCTTGAAGCAAAAAATAAAACGCGAAAAATCGAATTCAAAGTAATTTGGCGCTGTTTTTTTTTCTTATTTCGAATCATTTCCACGAGTTGATAATGTTTCCATGGCATTCGACATGTAATGCACATAACCTCATGTTGTCGTTGTCGTTGAATGAAACGGAAATTCAACTCACCATAATCGGATCATCTGAATTTCGAGAAAGATTGAATTGAAAACCATGCTGAAATGGCAGAAAACCGACAACCAACCAACCGTACATACACACAGCGCAGAAAGAATTGTAACAAACTGTGTTTTCCCATTTAGTAGCGCAAATGTTTTGAATCAATGTACAATTTGATATCAAGATTGTGTAGTCAAAGGTAGAGAGCAGGATGTTCTTTCCGGTCCGGTATTATGTGTGCACAAAAGCGCTTTGCGAGTTGCTCTACTCCACTCCACTGTGTACAATGCTCTGTTCCGTAGTGTTCTATTATGTTGTATGTGTGTGTATTTTTTCGTTGTTGTTGTTGCAAAAAACGATTTTTGCCTTTCGTTTTGGTTTATGGTTTGCTTACCTTATGAAATACCACCAATAAATCATCAAGTTTTCCATGTAAATCACCACAAATGGTAACTTGCTTCGATATGGCAGTGGACGCTTGATTCAAATTAGGTAAACGTTTCAGTCGTATTGTTGCTTCCTTCAATATACCGGCCACGTATTTTGCATGTAGACGGTTATACTGTGTGTGTTATACCATCGCCACCATCACCGACAGAGTCGCCCGATAACGCACCGGAAATAAACATAGATGTACATTTTGATTTTTGTTGGTTGTTCATATGTGTGGTTCGCATCGATCCCAGCAGCAAACAGTCATCAACCGTATATAATTTAATGCCGTAATTCAAGTTGTATGGGCCGTAGCAATTATGGGGCCAGATGAAAACAAAGCCATTACAACAGCGACATTATTATTATTTTTCGAGTGTGTAAGGCAAAATGAAAAAAGAAAAAAGAAAAAAAAATATGTTAGAAAAGAAAAGTTTCCTTCTGAACGAACAGAGAGGAGAAAAAAATTAAAATTGGCTCTTGAATGTACTTAGCCGAAATGATCCAGTCTTATGGTTTTCAACAAAAAGAAATCCAGTCTCACATTTTTGTTGCATTAGTTTTTGCCAGTAACAAAAAGTCATAGACGCTTGGGCCAAGTATCAAAGTTTTCAAATATTTTTTTTAATATTTTAAGACATTGTTGGAATTATGCGATAAGCGTGGCATTTTTGGTGGTTTCAAACACAATGAAAATAATGTTCAATTCTCTGCTTCATCGATAATTTTGACTGTACATCGGTAAAGTGTTCTTTTTTTCTTCCTCTGTCATAAATCATTTCGATGTATTCAGAATAATAATACCTTTTTCTTTCGGAATAGCTCAATTAATGTGTCAATGTCTTTTTTCTGTAACGGAAATACTAAATGTGGTCCGCGGTACGCACGTTCCGGCCCGGTAATACCTTCATCAGCTAAGTCATCCGATTCATCACTAAATTTTGAATCCAATGCATCTGCTCGGGGAAAGAGAAAGAGAGAGGGGGAGAAGGATGAAATGAAGGTAGAGAATGGGAGAAAATTCCTTTTGTTAGTGAATATCGTTGGAAAAAAGAGCCCAATAACCAGAATACAAGTCTATGCATTAAGTGACAAACATTTTTAGGTAGTTGTATTGAGCTAAGAGACCGTATGTGTACCGAATTATTTCGAATTACTAATTACTAATTCGAAATAATTCAGTACACATACGGTCTCTTAGCTAATACAACTACCTAAAAATGTTCGTATTAAATCAGAGCCGTCACCTCACCGTTGCTTGTGTATAAAGCAAGTAACACAACCATTCATTAAGTGACAAAGGTACCATTTTTTTTCTCCACCAAGTGACAATTTCATACTTTATAGTTTTTATATAGATATGCTCATTGGCCCAGTGACAAATATGAGGTAATTCGTCAAGTTCAACTGACGAACGAACATTGTACGAAAAACTGCATCAGATATGGTCCTTCTAAAGGAACCTTTTTTAAAACGCTTGAACAATGTTCCATGAAGCTGCCAAATCTGGAGGCAGATAAATCGAAAAGAAAATTAGACAAATCACTCGATTGACGACAAATCATGTCATCGACTCAGTTTGAAAACATTTTTATATTCAATTTCCGCTCTAATACTCCAGTGACATTGGATTATAAACTGCATCATTTATTAACTTGATGTTTTGGTTTAAACTGGCTGATGTGTGTAACAAATCTTCTTTTTTGGCATGTTATGCTCAACGAATTGAATTTTTTTTTTTCTCACAATCGAGGGAACACGTTCTTCATAAGGGTTCTATGGTGAAAAATTACTTGTGAATAAAATCCATTGTGAACTTTGCCATAAAAAATTCTTTACGCAAAAAAAAATTCAGCCGTTCAATTTAGAATGCTAGGTTTTTTACTATAGTAAAAAAAATAACTTGCCAAAAATCGATGGAAAAGATTTGCAAAACAAAATGTACAGGAAAAAAGTACGCAATTGTATTCATTGGTGGATAACTTCTGATGTATCATAGCTGTTTTCCCTTGTTGTCTCGGGCTGACGGAGGTGGCCATGTGGTAAAAGTGGCAGCATCAATTTAAGAGCTGCCATCTTTAACGCCCGGAAAAACACGTTATTCGCATAAATCAAAATGGTCCCTTCGAATACATATACTACACATGCATACTCTCACACACACAACACCCATCAAGCATCAACATGTATATTTATACATATACAACTAATCCAATTACGTACCATTTGATGATGCCCTCGATATATTTGATGAACCTGATGGCTTGTTTGCCGTGTCAGGAATATGTGTTAACAATGCGTTGAAAAAGTTATATAACTTTTTATCGACATCCAGAGGCAAGGCAACGGTCATCCCGGGCAGTGTGGAAGCGGGAACAACGAAACAAGAAAAAGAAAGAAAGAGGGAGAAAGATGGGGATGGATTTTTTAAAGAAAGACATCGAAAATAAATTGATTGAATGTAATGAAAAATGACAAATCGCAGGAGCGCCAGTCATAAAGCAGCTATTTTAGTCGCGTCCACCACCACCACTCTCAACAGCAGCACACTAAAGTTTCAATTGTATACAATTTTTGCATAATTTATTTTCAACATTTTCATTAGTTATTTACGTGAAAACGAAATCAAATTAAATACTGTGTTCCGTTTGCGTCGTCAGATGTTGAATGTTCAGTTTTCAGCACACCGATCCAAAGCATGACTCTTTGTGTCGTCGACACCATACACATACACATACACACACATACACAAAACACAATGTGGAATCATCGAGCCATTGTTGTGTAACGAATATATATCATATTCAAAATAAGATGTTCATGGCTAATGTGCCATGCGGAGGCGGTGTGACAGTGGAGGGCGGGCATTTTTCATTTATATGCAACCAGTCCCATGATGAAAAGCCTTAATTACTTTGATAATGTTTCTTGTTCACTCTTATCAAATAATTAATGAACTTCAAGCGATATAACGTCAAAACGTCGAAGTATTTTTACAAGAGAAATTGGAACAGCAATAACACCAACATCTTGATGGCCAAAATTAAACTCTCGCCTTTTTGGTGATATATCTGATAATTTAGTTTGTATATTGATTACTTGACATGTAAACAATTTTCATGCATATCTCGAGTATGAAATTGGGCATACTATTTTTGGCTCGTAAAGTCATGTTTGAAAGAAATGCAAAAGCTCTAGTAGTTTTGTCGTCACCAAACTCGAAACATCGATGAAAATATAGTAGATTCTGCTATACATAGCATTACATTTTGGTAAAATGTAAACTATTTTCAACAGGGTCACATTAATTGTTCTTATTATTGTGATTAATCGTTCGCAATATTATAATGACCATTACGAGAATAATGACCATGGAGATCGTTCTAGTACGCTCCTTCGTCTCAATCTGACGACTTCAACGGGAGAAACAAATTCCCACAGCGATGGACTCAAAGTGGGCGAATTGCAGCAGCCCGACATTAAGGTGTAATGGGCAGGTAATGAAGTTAATGGGAACAACATGGAACATTTTAAATTCATTTTCTTTGTTATCGACGTATTAATGAAGCAAGAAATTAAATGAGCAAGCAATATTTGAGCATAAATTGTCGATGGACCGGTGTCATTTGCCACATCGCTTCTGCAAAGCGGGCAGGAGGAGGTGCCTTTTTTCAGACGGAAAACACTTTTCCGGATGAATCCGATTGCGCAATATATATATAAAATAAATATACACAAAATGGCACAAAAATGTGGCGCAAAACGTAGCTGTCATTGTGCATTGTTGCAAACAACAACAGAGAAAAACAAAATCGGAGCAACAACACAGTAATTCGAACACATCAGACGTCACGAACATGCAAGGTTGCCCAGGTTGTTTGTTTGTGCCCTAGCATCGCATGACCGTCTATTGTTTGGCATTTCGCAACGCATGCAATAATTAAGTATATAAATTTATACCGACAACAAACAACCATTGTATTTTCACTGTTCATATTAAAATGCTCCCCATTTGAACCAAAAACAGATTCAAAATGGTGAAGGGAATCTAAACGAACAAAGAAATTGCTAAAATTTCCGATTTTTCGCTGTGTGCAAAAAAACAGCGCGAAGAATGAACATGTAAATACAATTTTTATCGATAGCAACCGAAAATGTTTTGGCATTTATATACTCACACGAACTTGGTCTTGCTCTCCAGCATATTCAATGCTCTGGAATATCGTCCATGTGTATCGCCGTCGAATTTCCATACGAGCCAAATAACGGCGATACCATCGTTGTATCAAAATGGCTGCTTTCATTGCTGCATCCGACGACCAGGGAGAGATAGCGAGACGGAGAGAGAGAAAAATAGAAGAGATAATCAAAATAAGCTTACAAAATATACAAATGCGATAATAATTGTTTGCATCTATCAGAACAAGATGTGCTGCCTTGAAGGGGCGAATTATGTAAAATGTGGAGCATTTGAGCTACTTGACAGTTGGATTTCAAATATATATTCATTTTATGCTTTTTTTACTTCAAAAAATATATTCACTACATCAAAAAAATAATAGTAAATATTTATACCATCATATTTAAAAGTAATTTTTATTTTTGTCACAAACACACGCAGACTCTTTTCTCAACCCGAAGAGAGTGGCTTAACACTTTTTCGATAAATTGAGTTTCGTGCAGAATATGAGTAAAATGGGCTGCAATCCTGACGCTCAAACTGCAATTAATTATCGGATGTCACGTCATTCAGCGTGCCGCACACTGCCTGATTTCATTTAAATAAATTTCAATATGCGTTTTTTATTATTAATTTTAATTTGATTATTTTATTTGCAATTCTATGTTTGCGGGCTTGAACATATTTTATTCCAGACAACGACGACGACGCCCGAACAAAAAACGCAAACCCGAACGCGGACGCGGACGAGGTTCCTACGTAAGTGTAGAGCGCCAAAAAAAAAATTGAGGGTTCGACCCTATTTGGGCCTGGGTGTGAGAAATCCTCCTAGATTAAATTTGATTTAATTTCAATGGGAAATTGCGATTGGTTTTCGCTACGCCGTGAAATTTCGATCGTAGGACGCACACACATGCGGACCAACATAGATTGAGTGAATAAAATACATGGAATTAAATGTTGCTATCAAACAGATGGACCATATGCCATTCAATATGGTAAACAGGTGCCTGAAATTGTGTATGAAAAAAAAACATTTTCTAAACACAACCAGAAAATAATGTATCACCGGGGTTTTGGATGTTGCAAAGTTATTTCAGCATATATATGCATAGGTAACTGATATGGAAGGGAACAAAGGTTTTGAAAGAGAACGGGAAAGAGAGAGAGAGCCATTGTTTGCTATTCATGATTGACGATTGGTTTGGAGTGTGCTGAATAATAATGGCTGCGACCCAGACGTGCATGCCAATATGTGGAAAAGACAATAGAGAAATAAGGATCAGTAAAGAAGAATGTCTCTTGCTCACAGCTATCAACAAAGAACAAAGTCTTTGCACCTACATTTGATCGACATGCGCGTGAATTACGCTCATGGCAACACACGACCAAACATCGCCCAAAATCGGTGAAACCGATCGAAATGTGAATGAGATTTTTTGGAAATTGTATCGCAACAATTCCAGAACAAGCATTGGCATACGAATTTCTCTAGTTAAGTCATCAATGCTTTGTGTGGGATTCATTCAACGATTGATATCGCGTGCTATAGACTGTGGCGCGAGAACACATGCATGAATTGCATTTTGGAGATTTTTTTCGCGTATTTCGCGTGGATTTTATAATATTTTTGGTGCACCCCATTCAGAGTGCCCATTTCGATAGTTGTGAAACTCACGAAAACATACAGCGTTAACATGCAAACATACAGCAGCAACTGGTATAAATGCCCTTCTATATCAAAATGATTAGATTTTTTTCTGGGAAAAATCCTCCTTGAAAAATGCATTAAAATCTTGGATTTTTTTTGTTCAACTCGAAACTTCGAAGAAATAACCCCTTTACAAAGCATACATTCGGCATACTTAAGTTGATTTGATAAAACTTTCTTCTTTGAAAAGTCAAAATCGAATAAATATTATCCGTGTGCTAAGTCATCGTACAATATGCCTTCTTATTTTCGTTCGTTTTCACATAAATAACGGAATCGAATCTATTCTGGAACGGAGTTGTGAAAATCAAATTAGCTTTGTCACTTTTTGTTTTCACTCGTACTTATCGAAAAGAAGTGAGACAGGCTCAATTCAAATTTGAACGAATGAAATTCCTCACACAAAGAACGTGTCAATTCCACCCACTTCTTTTTGTCGGAGTCATATATTTTTGTTTTCTCCGTCTCTCGCCTTTGTTTATATTCAAAAAGGAATATTTTCTTCTGTACAAAAAAAACGAAACCGTTCAGTTTTGCTTTGCATTATCAACAACAACAACAACAACAACAACAACAACAACAACAACAACAACAACAACAA